CAATTAGATGACTTTACTTTTACCCACAGTACTTGAGAGGGGGTGTGATCTCACAAAAGGTCCTGTACCACCGCAGCAACACTTTGCTATTTTCAGTCACACAGGTTTGTTACAGCTCATACTTAGTTACGCGGCATGCCAGTTACACTAAATGGCTTGTTATATTGAATGGTGACTTTACTGCACAGCTTGTTATACTGCACAGTTAATTAGACCCCACGTTAGTAGTGTTTCAATTACGATACACTTCATGTAGCAACATAATTTGTTATCCCAGACAGCTTCTGCTGCACACAATGCAAACAATAGCATGTAATCTAGGTACATCCAGTTTGGAGATGTGAGATAAATTCCAGGATTCCGGAGTCCCCATCCCTGGCAGCATTCACCTTTCCAAGACCTTGGTCTTCCTTCCTAAAGAGTGGAGCCCAGTATTGGGCTCAATACTCTATCTGAGGTCTAACCAGTGTTTTTAAAAGGGTTAAGAATAAATAGCTCAGTTTTGTGCTCTCTTCCTTCATAATTAAAACCTAAAATTCCAAGCCAATCTTTGTAAACGGTGTCCTCAGATCCTCCAAAAATTTGTTCATGCACAGTACAATGTCTTTCTGTTCCTGCACCTTTGTCAAAATTATGCTGTTCAGTTTATTTTCCCACCAAAGGTAACAATTCACATTTCTCTGCACTAGATGTCATCTGGCAAGGTTGAGCTATAAATATCCCACACATTTCCTCTAAATAATTAAATTTGTTGTATTTACCTGAACGGGTGGAGCCTAACATTTTTTACAAACTGCGATACTCACTCAGCACTCCACTTGGGAATATCAAGATAGATTACTGATTCAAATTCTGTGGGTGTTTCTCATCAGTCCAGCATTTGTTGCCCCTCCCTAACCACCCTTGAACTAAGTGGTTTGTTGGGACATTTCAGAGGCCAGTTAAGAGTTACCTACATTACAGTAGATCAGGAGTCACATGTAGGCCAGGAAAGAAGTGCAGGTTGCCAACCCTAAAGGATATAAGTGAACCAGATGGGTTTCTTGAATTGACAACAGTTTTAACATACCATTACTGATGGCTAGCTTTCAATTCCAGAACTTTTATTAATTTAATTCAAACTCCGCAAGCTGCCTTGATGGTATTTGAACCCACGACCCCAGAGCATTTGTCTGGGTCTCTGGGATTACTAGTCTAGTGACTTATGGGTGAACCCCCAAGGCCACTTGTTGGTTATGGTGCTAACTGGTGCCACAGAATAAACTAGTCTGCGTAATGTGGTATAAAATCAGACAATGCAGTAAATACTCAGCAATTCAGGCATCATTTGTGGACAGAAGCAGAGATAATGGGCACAATATTCTAGAGGTTAGAACAATGTGGGTGATGGAGAAATGTGAGGCAGAATCATGTGAGAAGACTAACAAAACCCATCTCAACACTGGGAGCATCTCACACCAGCTTCTGTGCTTTTCATAAGCATTCAAGCTAACGAGTTTCTTGTTAAGCATCGGTGAGTCGTTAATTCAGAGGGATTATTGCTCATTAACCACCTTATTAATGGCTCAACATGCCTCATTAATATTCAGCTTCCTTTCTTAGTAAATGCCACAAACAAGCTAGAAGTCAAGTTTTCTCAAGGTGGAAGTCAGAGCACTTACCTGGCAACATCAGCTCACCACTTGCTTCAAAGAACCTCCATGCTGGACACCAGGCACCAACATCTCAGGGCACACTCTGTGGGCGCTGGCACAAACACCTCACACCCACTGACACTGGTGTCCAACATATGTTAGCTTCTAAGAGCCCTCATGCCCATCTCCTATCCACTAACAGGATGCAGCTGCACTTCAATGCTGTACCTTGCGCTGCCTCTGTAAGTCTCATTGTAAACCTGCAGCAACTGTGTGCTCAGGGCCACCACCAACCTCCCCCCACCCCCCCACCCCAGCTAGGGGACTGCATCAGGCTGCATCTCCAGGTTCTTCACTCACGTTGAGCTCACAGCATCCCTGCCCTGCCCTACCTTCCTTTGTGCACTTTGTCCCCTCAGTCTGAGATACCAGAACCATATCATTTCTGTCTCACTATACTTTCTTTAGCACTGACCCAAAGGCAGGAAGCCTGTCATTGATGCCAGCAAACGTCAGTCATGTGAAGGGGGAAAGCCTTCACTCCCGGCACAGTGAGTGAACAGAAGCCTCTGATCCCAGTCCAGAGGCTTGGACACAGTCAGTCAGCCCCTCGGGTTGGGCAGACCCAGGATCCTCTCCACGTGAGGGGGGAGGAACTGAATGTCGAGCAGCCCTGCACCCGGCCTGACTCTTTCTACCCCCATGGGGGTGCTGTTTCCCTCCTGGAATGAGAGAGAGGCAGGTATTGAGGGAGATGGTAGTGGGTGACACAGCTGTTACTGTTGGTGCTGGGGGTGGGGGAAGTGTCCTGAGTGAGTGGGCAGCACAGAGGGCACACAGGGTCAGTGGAGTCGGGGACTGGGGTGGGTGAGAGTGAGTGAGGGAGGATGGTGTAGGCAGTAACGAGAGTGAATAGAGCAGGAGCCTTGGCGGGAGGTGAGGAGAGTAGCAGAATTGGAGAGAAGATGAGGGCACTTCATTGTAGAGTAGAGAAGGACTTTGATCTTCCTCCTACAGCGCTGGGCATTTCTCCAGGCTGCATTGACCTGGTTGGAAACCTCAGACTGCTGGGCCTGCTATCAAGGGCTTCACTATTGGTCCTGGGTTAGAGGAGGTGCTGCCTCTGGCCAACCCTGTCCTGCAGGGCAGCCAGGTTCCTGCTGAAAAAGCAGGGCGTCAATTTTCCCCTTGTCTACAATGTCTGTCAAATATCAGGAACTGTGTGGGACAGCTCCAGACTGATACAGTTTGTCTAGCTACACAACAGATTTTTAAAGATGGCGTGAGCACAAAGGACGCTGGTCAATTCTGGGATAGCAGCAAGTCGTTACGGAAACAGCACGTGGTAAGATGGGGCTCACTCAGATGGGGCAGGGTAGGTAATTCATTAGAAGGGTTTGGTGAGAAATTTCTCTCGGCCTCACAGAGAGAAATCCTTCAAAAAGCCTCACACTTACCCCAAAGTAATGTAAGATTCAGCCCAGTGCTTCAGGTTGAAAACTTTCTATGGGGGTGAAGGTGCCATATGGTTAATGTTGCTGGTTTAGGCATGTCGAGGCCTAGACAAATAGGTTCAAACTCCAGTGCAACAGGTTGGATTGACATCCAAAGAGCACAATCCTGTGAGAGATGCTGTACTTCTGGATGAAATGTCCAATCCAGGCCTTTGCCCCCTTAGGCAGAAGTTGAAAAATCCCACTGTACCACTTTGAAAAAGAGCATTGGCTAGTGTCCTGACTCAATCAACATCACAACAGAGGGGCCATCTTGCCTCAGAGTAGTAGCATCCCTACTCCTGTACTGGAGGCCTGGGTTCAAGTCCCACCTGCTCCAGAGCTGTGTAATAACATCTCTGAACAGGCTGATTAAAAAAAAGGTGAAATAAAAAAATTCAACATCACAAGAAGGAAAAACAAAGATCAAAACAAATGGTCACATTGCTATCTGTGAGAACATGGTGTACACAAAATGGTACTCACTTTTCTAATGAAAACAGTGACTGCAGTTCAAAAGTATTTCATCCCTAGAAAGCGCTTTGAGATTCCCGGTGGTTGTAAACGGTGCTACATCAATGCAAATGCTCCTTCTTCTCCCCAGAGTCTGGCATAGTTGTTGCAGGATGTTTCAGAACATTTGATATTTCAGAGCTGTTCCCTCTCCCCATGCTGTCCAGTTTCTGTTTGCAAGATGGACTCTCTCTCATCAGGTACAGGGATAGCAAGAACTGCAGATGCTGGAGTCAGAGTCAATACAGTGTGGAGCTGGAGGAACACAACAGGTCAGGCAGCATCAGAGGAGCAGGAGGGTCGACGTTTCAGGTCG